AAGTGTCGCCTTTGTTCTTGCCTGCTCTATAATAAAGTTTTGTCATAATTAGGTGATGAAAAAGTAATTAACATTGTGCTGTCACACAGTCGTTGTAATGAGATGTCTTGTGCACACATAACTTTTGTTGTGGTTGCATGGTTTTCAGTGTGCTGTGTTTGATATAATACTTAAAATCACATTCGAAACCAAAACTGATGTAGTGAAAAGATTAGATTTAAGTGAGCACACATTTCTAACTTTTTATTTGAAAAGAACTTTCATCTTTAGTCAAAATATTTTTCTAACAATTTTTATTTCAGCTTTAAAGATGGGTCGTATAGGCAAATGCACTGTATAATCCAGCAGTGTTGAGATGCCTTCACAAAATGTTCTAGGGCAAAAACGGCACCTGTGTTCTGTGGACTGCTGCAGGAACTCCACTTCACAGCATTTCTTCCTCGTCTGTGTGTTCTGAAGTACAGTGAATGTCCTGTGTGTAAATGCGCCTCCTGTCAAAATCATGCCTGTGAGGTCGTGTCCAGGAGTGGCTATGCATCTCGGGCTCTGTTTGTCCTCCTCTGAGTCCATCCTGACTCACTCCATCTTGTGAGTGAATTAAACTGATTTACTGTGGCTTATTTTTAATGCCTAAATTTTAGCAACAGAGGAAGAAAAAATTTTTTTTAATTCTCATTACATATACACACATGTAATCATTCTCATTACATTACATATACATACATTTGACATAGCAAGAATATGTCACATAAAGAAGCTGTGTTTAGAATACCAGTTTTCTATTTGATGCATGATATTTTCCTAACTAAAATTGCCAAGGGGACTTGGAAGACCAGAAAAGGAAATAAATTAATGTTGATAATCTTAAATAACATTTTTTAAAACATCAATCTCCCTCCTCCTCCATAGGTCTGGTCAATTTTGTATAACTTGGTGTTAAACTTTACAAATTTACTATACTTTCTAACTTTTACTGAACTGAAAGCACAAAGAAGAATATATAAAGAAAATCTGGAAGCACTTGTTAATGTTGGAAAGGATGTGAAATTGGATCTGTCTCACAGTTTTTATATGTGTTTTCTCTGAATTTACCTGACTATGCTGGCGAGAACTGTTTATTTACAATCAAATTGTATTAGTGTCTGCGGGGTTTGTCAGTACTCGTCAAAGCCAGGTCCAATTAAAAAAAAGTCTTTGCCCTCAGATCTGTATCTGACTGTCAGTATGCATAAAATATACCTCTTTGGGAACTATGTAATGCAGCAGTGTTTGGAAGATGTTGGTTGAGTTGGAAAACAAGCCTCTGCATGTACCTGTCACTTTGGCATGCATCTACCCACCTGGAGCCAGCAGGGGTTGCTCAGTGAGTCTTCTTTAAATGGTTGAGGTAGTCCAGTGACCTGTGACTGCTTGCAGACATTCACTGCCATGTCCACCAGCTTGTGAAGATGAGCAGAGAGGTGCTAGTGTCCAGGTGGAGTGCTACCTGGAGCCAGCAGGGGTTGCTCAGTGAGTCTTCTTTAAATGGTTGAGGTAGTCCAGTGACCCGTGACTGCTTGCAGACATTCACTGCCATGTCCACCAGCTTGTGAAGATGAGCAGAGAGGTGCTAGTGTCCAGGTGG